CACTCACTCACTCACTCACTCACTCACTCACTCACTCCCTCCCTCCCTTACTCAAGTCAGCATTGGCAGCTAAAGGCAGAGCCTCTGATGACACCAAAAGTGGTAGGAAGGATTCAGGCTGTTTGATAACAGGTATGGGGCGCATAGGTTTGAGGCTATTGTTTTTGGTAAGGATTTTAACTTGCACCGCGATCTTTAGTGTTGCACAGCTAAGGAGTCAGGATTGTACTTGGCATCCTGCCTTCCCTTCCATGGACATGTACAGTCCAGGGTGCAGCTCAGCACAGAGAGCTTTGGGAAGAGGGTCATTGTTAGAGGCAGGCTACTCAAAGGGGCAGTATGACCAGATAGTATTACTGTCTTGGGGAAAAGGTGCTTTTTTGGTTTTTTATTAACATCTGTTTCAAAAAGGTTTGGGTAATCACAATATTCTTGTGTTTGGAAAGGGGTATTTAATAACATTATTCTCAACTTAAAATTTATAGTAAATTGATGAGTTAACATGTGGTATTATATTATCTTGTTACATGTTGCCAATAACTTGTGTCTACCTAACATCTTTTGTAGTACAAACTTCAGTTCCTTATTAGTTGGGTTGGCTGTGTAAAACTTGAGAGTATTGACACTGTTTTCTAAAAATGCATTCACTGTCTGATAGATCTCTCTGGGCAGATTTTGACCAGAAATAAGCAGGTTCAGTTCAGATAAAAATGCTTCATTCCAAAGGGACTAACTTCCCTGATTCCCTGATTCTGATTCCCTTCCCTGATTCTGCAGAAGTTGAGCTGTGTGACCTAGAGCAAATTAACCCCATGGCTTTAATTTCTGCATCTGTAAAATGAACGATTGAGCTAAATGACATTTTGTAAAGTGAAACATCTTTTTACTGGCCTACTTAAGAGATAATTTTAAGACACTGCAGTTGGAGGAAAACTAGTGTAAATGGTCTTCCAAAGCAAAGGATGAGACTTGAAGAGGTTTGTGCATGTGTCTATGAAGATATTCCTCATAGGCTTGGCCCAGATATAATATCGTTAGCTCAGGCAACTGTGTCCACAGTTATCACTGTGAGATTTTTACGTTTCTAGAATGAACTAATAAATGGTGACTAATGTCATTTTCCAGTTCTGATATATTCCCAGTTATATATTCCCAAGCTCATAAGAACTGAGAAAATTCTCCCATTAGGCTTTGGAGTGGTTGAGGACTAGATTATATTGGAAAGCTGGGTTTTGGCTAGCTAAAATCTGGAATGGTGTGGTACATATGTTAATATTCTTAAGAAGTGTAGAACTTAGGGAGGTAAACCTTCAACCTCAGACCCTAGTTTCCACCTCCCCATCCCCCTCAAAGTCCCAAGAATGGTCACTACATTCCCTCCTTTCTCTTCAGTTCCCATTGCTATCACATGCTTTACCCGAGGCCTGGACATCAGGAAAGAGAAAGCAGATGTCCTCTGCCCAGGGGGCTGCTCTCTTGAGGAATTCTCCGTATTTGGGAACATAGTGTATGCATCTGTATCAAGCATATGTGGTGCAGCTATCCACAGGTAAGCTGAAACATGCCAAGGGGAGAGAAATCCAAGTGTGATGATTTCCTTTCTCTCTTTAGCCACATGGACGGACCCACTATCTTCTTTCTTTTGGTGCCAATTTTGGCCATAGAAGATAGATACATTTTTTTTAACTATTTTTTTTAACGTTTATTTATTTTTGAGACAGAGAGAGACAGAGCATGAACGGGGGAGGGTCAGAGAGAGGGAGACACAGAATCTGAAACAGGCTCCAGGCTCTGAGCTGTCAGCACAGAGCCCGACGTGGGGCTCGAACTCGCAGACCATGAGATCATGACCCGAGCCGAAGTCGGCCGCTTAACCGACTGAGCCACCCAGGCGCCCTGATAGATACATTTTTAAGGTTTTCCTGGATATCCATGAAGCACCAGCTACACAAAGTAAGCTTTCTGACTAAAGACAAATTGTATTATTTCTTGGCAGCTAGATTCCTGTGATTTTAGAACATTCCTAATCATGTAATATATTAGTGAGTTTTTACTGTGTGCCAGACATAGTTTTAACTTCCATGAGAACTTGAGAATTGTATAGGGTGGGTACAATTTTATTCCATTTTATAGATGAAGAAACAACTCAGTTGCCAAGGGTCTTGCCCACGGTCATCATTGTTAGGCAAGTGCCAGAGCTGGAAATGAAAGGCCAGGTCTGCTTCCAGATCCCGTATTCATCACACATTCTGCTATCCTACAAGACTTTGTGTGTGTGTGTGTGTGTGTGTGTGTGTGTGTGTGTGTGTGTTGTCCAAAGACATGTAGTTAAAGTACCTTAGAAAACTAAGAAAATTATTTGGTGCTCTTTAACCCTGAATCTCCGAGCTGCAGGGAATGGGATCTTATAGGTATGTTCCTATCAACATTTAAGAAGTTTGACAGCATAAAACCATTTTTTCCCAGGCAGATGTTGTACCTATGTTAGCACGTTTTTAAAAAGGCCAACAGCATCCTTAGATGTCTTCCCTGATAAACTATTTTCTTGATTATCAGAACAATAGATGTAACATGGCACTATAAGTCAGTCGGATACCCCTGGAAAAGTGTGGGTAGAATATCGTTTGTTTTTCTGTGTTGCAGGGGAATAATCAGCAACTCAGGGGGACCTGTACGAATATATAGCCTACCAGGTCGAGAAAACTATTCCTCAGTAGTTGCCAATGGCATTCAGTCTCAAACACTTTCCAGATGGTCTGCTTCTTTCACAGTGACAAGTAGGTACAATTACATTGATTTTACCTTTGTGTAAATATTGCCTGACTCTCAAAAAAGTTTTCTGCTGTTCTTAGCCCAACGTCTTTGACTTTGATAGAAAAGCCTGTGATTAAGACTTGAAAGAGTCAACTATGGGTTAGAATCAGCGACCTGGACAAGCAAAGCCCACTCAGGCCAAACTTGGCTGAATGGAGGAAGGATAATCTTGCTGTTAGAAGGTTGCAATAGAAACTTGTGATCAGAATGCCCTGACACTTACAAGTAACACTAAATCAAAAAACTAGTGAATGAAAATGAATGTGAATTCATTTTTGGTGATCCTTTTAAAATACAATTTAATAGATAAGAATTCATTTTGGTCTTTGAAACTCGCATGAAGCAATTACTCATGCAGTTGCCATTACTTGATTACATTTATCATCCCATAGACACCTAAGTTAGATTCATTATATTTTGATGGTAAAGAAGGAAGAGGAAAAAATAGTCTTCTCTTTATTTTAACAGAAGGTAAAAGTGGTACCCAGGAGGCCACAGGACAAGCAGTGTCCACAGCACGTCCATCAACAGGTATGGAAGCTATCTCCTAGTAGCCTGGCACAACATTTAGAAGTTAAAAATAAATGTGTTGTTGATAGCTTTCCTTTAAAAAGTAATTGACGTTGGGGCACCTGCGTGGCTTAGTTAAGCATCCAGCTCTTGGTTTCAGCTCAAGTCATGATCTCACAGTTTGTGGGTTCGAGCCCTGCGTTGGGCTCTGCACTGACTGTGTGGAGCCTTCTTGGAAGTCCTCTCTGTCCCTTTCTCTCTACTCCTCCCCTGCTTGCTCTCTCTCTCTCAAAAATAAGTAAGTTAAAAATAAACAAATAAAAAATTAAAAGTGATGTTAAACACAAAACCAGGGCACCTAGGTAGCTCTGTTAGTTGAGCATCCGACTCTTGATTTCAGGTCAGGTCATGATCCTGGGGTTATAGGATCGAGCCTTGCGTCGAGCTCTGCACCAAGCATTGACCTTGCTTAAGATTCTGTCTCTCCCTCTGCCCCTCTCTCCTGCTCGTGCCCTATCTCAAAAATTAAAAAAAATTAAACACAAAACAAATATCTTAAGTTTACTAGTGCATTATATAAGGAAACATTTTATATTTCAAATTCCTATCCTTCTATTTTCAATTATAAACTCTGCCAGCAAACTTTCTCTTCAAGTCCTACTATTTCTTTCTGATCTAATAAACCATGCCTAGAAACTGGACAAAGTGACTTCCTAGCTCCATTCGTCATATGAATAAAAGGAATTCAATGTGTGTCCATTTTAACAAAGGCCAGGAATCTCCTTTCCTAAGATTGTGGCAGTTTTAAAGTCAAAGAAATTAAGAACATTAGAATCTAACTCTTGGCATTTCTGGTCCTGCCTCAATTGTGGGTTTGAGATATCAAGTCCTGAATTGGTGGCAAGGCTTACAACAGTCCTGACTTCTTTGTCGGGGCATTTCTTCCCCAGTCCAAAAAGCTGTGAACAAATTAATTTTTTTACAAAACAAGTGTTTTTAAGAATGGCACTCCTTGTCACAAGCTTTTCCCCATGTGGGCTTCTTGCTATGAAACTGTCTTCCTATTGATGCCACTGCTTCCTTTGTTTCAGGTAAACGACTAAAGAAAACACCTGAAAAGAAAACTGGCAATAAAGGTAAGAGTCCACATATCCATTTGGGAAAATAACATTCTCCCTCCCTTTGAAACTGCTAACGGAGAGACATGTTTGGGTTTTCACAGATTGTAAAGCAGACATTGCATTTCTGATTGATGGAAGTTTTAATATTGGGCAGCGCCGATTTAATCTACAGAAGAATTTTGTTGGCAAAGTGGCTCTAATGTTGGGAATTGGAACAGAAGGACCACACGTGGGCCTTGTTCAAGCCAGGTACCAACTTGTTAAAATGGAAAGAGACTTGATGATAAAAGATCAGCCGTTTTAGTGGATACATGTATTTCAGTACAGTATAAACACATAGAGTTGTGGATAGTCTGAATCCCTGAACTGTAAATATAGGATGTAAGACTGCCTAAGCAGATGGGGTAGGTCTAAGTGCTTCCTTTTTGGAATAAAAAGATTTAGAGAATTTGATGACCAGAAGATAGACTAAAAAGGTTTTGTTGTTCATACAACAAAATTACCTCTGTACAAATTACCTCTGTACATATACTCTGCTCAATTCCTGATTCTTCTTTGCTGAAGGAAGAAATTATAGGTCTGTTTCTCTTCCCTATTCTGTCATTATTCTTTTAAACATTTCCCATAGTTCCATGAGTGCAGATCTGAAGCTCGATCTTTTTAATTTTATTCATTTAAAAATAATATTGATGGCTTTTAGGAAAATAATATGCTCACTATAGATACCTTGAAAAAACATATAAAGCACAAGAAAAACAAATTTCCCAAATATGCTCTCCCGAGATAATCACTATAAAATGTTTGATACCCTTTCAGTATTTTAAGAAAATACTTGCTTGTACATGTGCATGTGTGTGTGTGTGTGTGTGTGTGTGTGTAATTGAAGTATGGTTGACACACAATGTTACATTAGTTTCAGGTGTACGACATAGTGATTCAACATTGTGGATTATGCCATGTTCCCTGCAAGTGTAGCTCCCATCTGTCACCGTCAGATGCTGTTACAGTGCCACTGACGATATTCCTTATGCTGTACCTTTTATTCTCTTGGCTTACTCATTTCATAACCGGAAGCCTGTACCTCGCATTCCCCTTCCACCACTTTTTCCATCCTTCACCCCTTTCTGCATAATGTGTTTCTTTTTCAAAAGCTCAAACTATAAAAATGTTTTATGTCCTGTTTTTTCATCCCTTTGTATTTTGATCATTTTACACCACAAATGCTCTAAATCGATGATGTTTTAGAATGTTCCTTTGCATGACTGTTTAACTGTTCTTCCATTTTTTTTCACCATCGGACATTACATTGTGATTAACATCCTTATGTCACCCTTGTGCCATCTTTGATTAGTTCATTAGACTAGATTTCTAAAAGTGAGATTGGGTCAAAAGGTTCTGACATTTTTAAGGTTTCGGATACAAAGTTCAATTGCTTTCTAGAAAGTTGACCCAGTTTAAATTGCTGTCACCAGTACTACACCTACTAATTTCTATTTCATTTATTCTTATGTTATGTTTTACAACTGGTTCTTAATTTAAATAGAATTTTTTTGGTATGAGAATTTGGTATGAGAATTTTTTGGTTTTCTACATAATTTAACTATTTGTCCCATATCTTTAAAACAGATGACTTTATTTCATTGATTTGTAATGCCAATTTTATATGCAAGTTAAGCAAGTCAGTTTCCTTGATCTATAAGCCAATTCTTACATCTTTTCTACAATGCTCTGATAATTGTAGCTTTATTGTACATTTTAACATCCGGGGGGGGGGACAAATTCCACTCAGTACTTTTCTTCTTACATTTTTTTCTTTGCTATTTGTATCCAATTCTTTTTCAAGATGACAGCTACACTATCTCGTAGAATCAAACAAGACTAGCTTCTCTATAAACTTTGAGACTTCTAGTTTACTGATTAAAAAAAATTTTTTTTAACGTTTATTCATGTTTTGGTAGAGACAGAGTGTGAGTGGGGGAGGAGCAGAGAGAGAGGGAGACACAGAATCCAAATCAAGCTCCAGGCTCTGAACCGACAGCACAGAGACTGACACGGGGTTCAAACTCACAGATTGTGAGATCATGACCTGAGCTGAAGTTGGACGCTTAACCGACTGAGCCACCCAGGCACCCCTATAGTTTTCCTGTTTTAGGAAGAGCCTCAGAATAAACTATATAAAGAGTTTATATTTAAGCAGAATAACAATGTAACATTAAGGATGCAAAATTAAGAATAAATCTCCTAAATCACAATTGGGATAGTTCAAAGTGACCATTAATGTGAAAAGGTTATCTACCCATAATATCTGATTTTGTGGCCCAACATTTCACCAGATATACAGAAAGATATGCAGAAGTACAGTCAGTGCTATACTTTTACCTCAAAAATCTTGACTTAATGGCAATTGATAATACTAAGATCTTAACATTTTGCACTTATGAAATACTGACTTACCTAAAAACCAACCCAACAAATGGTTGTGTAACTGTTTTACTCAACATGGTCTCTAATAAACGTAGAGTAGTGATAAAAGTGTGTTGAAATCCTTTTACTATTAAATATGGAAAGTCCCAAATATTACAATATACATAATTTGAAGATCAGCGTATGTCAATATCATTTTTTATAACACAAATCCAAAATTGTAATACTTGATACATTTTCTTGTTATCTTCTCATTTTTAAAACGTTGGCCTCGGTGTCCTTGAAATTGCCTCTTCTAACCAGAAGCCTGAGTTAATAGACCCACACTGTTGAGTGCTTCCATGGTCTCCCACTGGAACAGACCTAGTCTCACACCCAGTCACCTTCCAATACTCTGGTGCCCTACTCTGCAGATTTCCATTAAGCCCAGTGCCTTCAGCTAAACCTGGTTTCAGGTGTTCTGGAGCCAGACAAACCTGAATTTAAAGTGCAGCAGTGTTTTGTTGGGCAACCTACCAAAATGCTGTGAGCCTCAGTTTCTTCACTTACATAGTAGGGATAGTAGTTTACACTTTGTAGAGTTAGGATGAAATGAGATGATACATGTAATACGTATTTAGCATATTACCCAGATAAACCCTCAAGGTAGCAATTGTTTTTGTTACATTTCTGCAAGATGCCTTGAAATTTAAGTAAGGATGCAATACTTTAGTTGACTGTACACTATGGGATTAAGAAACTTAGGCATTGGCCAATTTACTTTTTTTTAAGTTATATAATGTTGCTTGTTTTGCCTTTCCAGTTCTCTCTAGATAACATTTTTTTTCCTATTTTTCCACTTAGTGAACATCCCAAAATAGAATTTTATTTGAAAAACTTTACATCAGCCAAAGATGTTTTGTTTGCCATAAAGGAAGTAGGTTTCAGAGGGGGTAATTCCAATACAGGTAAGTAGACTTTGGCACCTGGAATGTAACACAGGAGAGGGTTATGAAGCAGTCAGACATGTCAAGCAGCATTAGGCTATTTTATTTAAGCAGATGTGAAACTCTTCCTCTTGACACTGAAATCTTGGCTAGGTTTGTACTTGATCATCTAAGATACTCAATTTATAATGAAAAATATGCCAAAGGGTTAATTAATATTGCTTGTTTAAAACAAGCCAAAAAAGTATCGTGATTTATAATCCTTATATTGGATACAACAGATGCCACTTTAGAGAAGTACGTGTTCAGCAAGTTAAAAAGAAGCAAAGATCAACAGACTTGTTTAACAGATTTGTTAAACAGACTTGTTTAACAGATTTGTTAAACAGACTTGTTTAACAAATGCAGATGTGGCAGAAAGAACTAGCTTAGCACTATAGACCCTCTGAAGGGACATTTCTTGTTCTGAGTCTTTAGAGGTAATCAGTCACTAAGGGGCTAGATAGCAAAAGTACAGTGGTGAGAGTCAGTTGTGTTTCTGATGATTGATGTAAGGTAAGGAAAAATGAGGCTTCTGGGAGGTGATAGGGGAAGTAATGTGGGTTGTGAAGACAAAAAAAAAAAATAGATCTGATGGATAATTAAACTTTTGCATCTGATGCATCTATTATAGAACCAAGTTCTATGTAAGTTAAATTCTTAAACTTTTGGTGTCATCAAGTTGGTACAGGGAGATAGAAATGTCATTTGAGCAGCAGTGCTGCTCCAGCTTGCTTCTTCTTCAAATCTAGGAAAAGCCTTGAAGCATACGGCCCAGAAATTCTTCACAGCAGACGCTGGAGTAAGAAGAGGGATCCCCAAAGTGGTGGTGGTATTTATTGATGGCTGGCCTTCTGATGACATTGAGGAAGCAGGCATTGTGGCCAGAGAGTTTGGTGTGAATGTATTTATAGTTTCTGTGGCCAAGCCTATCCCTGAAGAACTGGGGATGGTTCAGGATGTTGCATTTGTTGACAAGGTAAGGAGGTGAGGGGTCTTTTCTGTTAGGGTAGTTACTCAGTTTTTGGACCTTCAGGCATAGTGCTGACTGGCCCTTATCTGGATTAACTCTGAACATTCAAGATTTAATGTTTTTATCATTTTTAAGAAGACACACTTTTTGATCCCGTTTATGTCTCCCCCATTAGGCTGTCTGTCGGAACAATGGCTTCTTCTCTTACCACATGCCCAACTGGTTTGGCACCACGAAATATGTAAAGCCTCTGGTACAGAAGCTCTGCACTCATGAGCAAATGATGTGCAGCAAGACCTGCTATAACTCAGTGAACATTGCCTTTCTAATTGATGGTTCCAGCAGTGTTGGAGACAGTAATTTTCGCCTCATGCTTGAGTTTGTTTCCAACATAGCCAAGACTTTTGAAATCTCAGACATTGGTGCCAAGATTGCTGCTGTGCAGTTCACCTATGATCAGCGCACAGAATTCACTTTCACTGATTACAGCACCAAAGAGAATGTCCTAGCTGTTATCAGAAACATTCGTTACATGAGCGGTGGAACAGCTACAGGTGATGCCATTTCCTTCACTGTTAGAAACGTGTTTGGTCCTGTGAGGGATAGCCCCAACAAGAACTTCCTGGTAATTGTCACAGACGGGCAGTCCTATGACGATGTTCGAGGCCCTGCTGCTGCTGCACACGATGCAGGTAAGTTCTTGTCCTTTGTCTGGGTAGGGAACTGAGGAGGGGTTCAGTGAGTTTTGTAAATATAAATGTAAGCATTTTATTGAACAAACACGTATGTAATGGCAATCATTGTTCTAAGAGCTTTACTCAATGTTAACTGACTTAAGTGTCAAACCAGTCCTATGAATGTCATTCTACAGATAAGGCAACAAATTTCCTCAAGACCACAGCTAGCAAGTGGTGAGGCCAATATTCAAACCCAGGCATTCTGGCTGAGTCCACACTCCTCACCACTGTATTGTTGGGAGAAGTGCCATGAGAACCATGTCATGTGTCAAGGAAGCATGTTACAGGTGCTTATGTTGGGCCCAAACTTGGAATATATCCCCCCACCCAATCACAATTTATCATAATTTACCATGAACCTATTTGATAATTTATCCTTTTTTAAAAAGTAGTTTTGAGTCTGGCATGAGTTTTCTAAGATGTTAGAGTCTCCAGTAGACTTTAATTCTATTCCATCTAAACTTCCTTTTTAGATTCTTAGTCTTTTTTTTTTAAGATAATAAAAACACACTCTGATGTTATAAAACAGTATAAAAAGGTCTTCTTTCTCCCTTACCCCAACCTTAATATTACTTTTGGCAAAGGCGACTCATTCCTGAAAACATTAGCATAATGTGTTGCTGAGATCAAATAGGGCAACAAAAAGCTGACGTTCCCTTTCCTGGGATAAAACTGAGTGATTGTGGTCCAATAATACTTAATAAAAAAAACAAAAAACAAAACAAAAAAAAAAAAACGCTAACTTGGGAGAGGGGAATTAGCGGCCTTGCATTTTTGTATACTTTTCCACACTTTTCCCTATTTAATTCCTCATGACTTAACTTTTTCCCTCTTACACATTAGCCACTGTTATATACTTTTATATTGATGAAATGCTGTTTAGTAGGGTAGAGAACCCATCCGCGCAACTTAAGCTATATGTTGGCTTATTTATATACATCTAGCTTGTTTTATCCATCAGTAGCTAACCTAAATCGAAGACCTGTTTGCTATCATCCTTCTTAAAAACGTATCTTACTGAACTAATTTGTGGTTAACAGGGTTCAGGCTAAATTAACTGAACTAGATTAAATCAAATATATTTCCCCAATGTAATTAGCTGAGCTTCAGGAGGTTATGCCACACCATTTTCATGAAAATTATCCTTTAGAGATTGTGAAGTGCAAGTTAACAAAAGCGGGAATACAGGTAGGTTTTCAAGGCTAGGTCGTAACTTTAATTGTTTAGCTCTGACCCAATATATAATTACAATCTGAGCTTCAGTCAGTCTACAAGTGAGGAAAACTGAGGGGGGAAACTTTTTGTTTTCTTTTGCCAGGGCAGGAGATGGGAGTATTGAGTGGGGTAATAAATCAGAAATTGTTTCAAGGAGCTTTTACATAATCTAAACCTGCTTTATTTACATCTCAAGTATTTACAATTTTGAGCACTGAATACCATTAGAATGGGGATGAAGTCCTAGAAGTGACTTCAGAAGCTCTCCAAACATAGGAAATTTCACTCAAAAGAAAGATGGTAGGATACACTAAGAATGTGCTAAACAACTACTGCAGTTGGATTGAGGTAAATCAAACTGGTGTAGTTGTCACCTTAACCAAAATATAGTTGGAATACAAGCCGCCTACTGGTGCAAGGGAATGTAGAGGTTATGCCTCATTGTGTAACTAGAAGAAATTATTCCAGCTGCACAGACCCTTTTCTCTTTGGCTGTTTTTTTCACTAGATTTTTGCTTTGGGGTTAGACACTGACCATTTCATTTTTTACGTTTTAAGTATAGTTTTAGAGAGCATGTGGGCACAGGAGTTCACACCTGAGCAGGACGTGGGGGGGAGGGAAGGGGGGAGAGGGAGGGAGGGAGGGAGGATATCCCAAAGCATCCAACGCTAACAGCGGAGTGGGGAAGGGGCAGAGGCATTGGGGGGGGGGGCATTGTAGTGACAACTACACCAGGCATTGGGGGGGGGGGGTCAGTCCCACAACTGTGAGATCATGACCTGAGCTGAAAACAAGAGCTGGAAACTTAACCAACTGAGCCACCCAAGCGCCTAACACTGACAATTTCTGACTACTGGTCATTTTGCCAATGTAACATACACATCAAAATTGCAAAGTTCTCATTATTCAGAAGACTAGTCACCATTTCCAATGCAAGAGCCTTAGAAAACTTCCATTTATGTATCCCAGACTCTGTTATACTGGCTAGGCCTCCAGTCTAATGATTAACTGGAGTGATGATAGCAGGCAGACCATTCTCCTGCCAATCTCAGGCAGTTTTCACCATTTCACTAAGTATGTTATATTTATTTTTTTAAGAAGTTATCTATCAGGTCATCACATAACTTTTTGTCAGTGATCATGTGATTTATTTGCCAATGTGGTAAGTTATACTGATGGCAAACTTTTGGTTTGGGCCCAACTGTTTAGCCATTCTCATGACTGTTTAAACCTAGCTAACCATTTGGTGAAGGAGATTTAATCCTTCAGACATTATAGAGCTTCCTCTCCGAGTGTAAACTGAGTCATGAAAAATAATTACGCCTGGTTTTCTATATAAGCTGCAGCTTGGTTCTAATGCATGCAAAAATATTTTCATTGTAGGTATTACCATCTTTTCTGTTGGAGTGGCTTGGGCACCTTTGGATGACCTGAAAGATATGGCCTCTAAACCAAAGGAGTCACATGCTTTCTTCACAAGAGAGTTCACAGGATTAGAACCAATTGTTTCCGACGTCATCAGAGGCATTTGTAGAGATTTCTTGGAATCCCAGCAATAATGGTAACATTTTGACAACTGAAAGAAAAAGTGTAAGAGGATGTAATGTATAAGTCATTTTCTCCTAATACTGAAATACTATATAGCATACTAGGACCAGATACAAAACTATTATATTAAAAATGCCAACAGCTGTTTCAAGCAAATAAGCATTCATTTAAAGCTACTACCTTATAATTACAATTTAGAATTATTAAACATTCTGCTGAGGCTTCATAATCATGACCCTTATAAACTCTGGAAACAGGAGATATTGTGGATCCGAATCTTAAGAATTCTAAAATGCGTATTAAATGTACAGAGACATAAATTCCATAGCTCAATAAAAGAATCTGATACTGAGAACAAAAGCAACATTCCTTCTCTCATCATTCAGTATTAAATATATAAAGAGAATGAAACTTAAATAGTTCTTTAACTCAGTTCATATGTAAGTCATTTTTCCCATAATGGATGTTGTCTTAAAACCAGTAAGAGTTATTACTTAATAAAAAGTTTTAATTATGAATCAAATGGAAGGGAATGAAGTATCAAGCTTCTTTTGTAGTGTATTTTCACAATAACATAACTGAACTATCTCACTGAATAAGATAGAATTGTCTGATATTTTTCTATTTATATCCTTAATTTTATATGTGTATAGATATATTTGGCTTATACTCTAAAAGTCATCCATGTACTGAAAAAAATGTTGGTAAATTTTTACTTACCACTTTAAACATTTGGCTTTAAGGAAAATCACTTATTGAAAATGGAACTGCAGGAAAAATTATTGTAGTTTGACCAAGCAAGAAAACTGTTAGTGACTATTATTCTAAGCTGCTTTACTTTTATTATTCCAAGTCCTCCCTCCCTGGGACATGGTAAAAAATCCTACATTCAGTACTTTATGTAGAAAGACCAACCTGAATTTTTTCTTAAAATTTTTATATTTATTCATTCAATTGTTTATTGAATGGCTACTGTTTAGGCATTATACACAGCCACTACCAAGTTAAACAGCAGGAGATGCTCTTACTTAGTTCAACAAAAATGTTTTGTAATTAACATTTTTACTTAAACATGCTTGTAAAGTTCCTAAGAAAAATGATCACAATGCCCTTAATATAGAGCTCTCCCTTCAGATACAGGTGTTGTCATCCCATCTCGCTTGTCTACAGGCAGAACCTGTCCTCCCCCTCAGCCACCTGTACATCCTAGCTCCCTCCCCACACACACTGATCCTATCTGAAACAACTTACAAGTTGACCTGAAATAGGTGTTAAATGGTCTACAATTACTACTTATACTCCAGTAAATCTCTGGAGTCCAGGGATTTTATAGGTGTGTAAAAGCAATGAAAGCAGCATGTATGAGAAAGGCAGAACTGAAATTGCCTTGGACAATTTTACATAAAAACTTGACAAAGTATGGGAAGATAATAAACTGACCCTTTCCTATAAAATGCCACATATATCCACGTAACAAGAATTTTCATTTAATTAAACAGGGGCACCTGGGTGGCTCAGTCAGTTAAGCGGCCAACTTTGGCTCAGGTCATGACCCGCGGTCTGTGAGTTCAAGCTCCACATCAGGCTGTGCTGACAGCTCAAAGCCTGGAGCCTGCTTCAGATTCTGTGTCTCCCTGTCTCTTTGCTCCTCCCCCACTCATGCTGCCTCTCTCGCTCTCAAAAATAAAAAAAAAAATAGGTTTAAACTTTTACACCACAAATTCTTGGCTGAGAGTACCACTCCTTGAAAAATTAAACTCAAATGAAAACCCAGCCTCCAATTGTCTTTTTTTTTTTTTAAAGTTATGGCTTCCTGCCCAGTGCAGAGCCCAATGCAGGACTTGAACTCACGACCCTGAGATCAAGACTGGAGCTGAGATCAAAAGTCGGATGTTTAACGGAGCCACCCAGGCACCCCCTCAGTACCCCTTTAAAACGCTTTTATTTTTATAAAGGACAAAGTTCTGAGTCATCTGAAGTAACCAGGGAAACTAACATTCTGACTTAAAGAGCATTAAGAGCAGAAATGACCCCTTTATTAAGTTACTATCAATTATTTTGTAAAAGCAGTAAAGTGTAAAGCACACTTTAGCAGGCATGCCTATTTTTCAAATATGCTATTTATAACATTTAATAAAGGTGTTAAGTGAGATGCTGGTCTTTAGTGGATAACTTACTTTGAAATGTGAGAAAAGTACACAAAAATAAAATATGAAAAAGGCAGAATATGATTAAATATTGAGAAAGTCAACATACTAAAGTTTCTATATAAAAATATTAAGCTTTATAAAGCACCATTTAATAGTCAAATGAATAATTTCCCAGAAGTCACAAATGGAAACACACAAAATAAGACTTTCATTTTGCATCCTTTAGTCTCTTCCAAATGTTTAATATTGTAGAGAAAAACACGACCAAAGTAGAGAAAAGTAAACATGTTTTAATTTTTATTCATTTCCGTTTCAATACATACCCAGAGGTGAATGTTTTATGCACTGCAGTGATGATAATCACATTTCAGTTAAACAGTAATGCACTGGTTTGGAATTGCTGCCGGAAACCATATTAGCTTTGGAAAAATTATAATTTCCAAAAACAAGAAAAAATGCCCCTTAATTGGTTAAGTTGAATCTTCAGAAAATCAAAAACAAAACAAAAAAAAACTTTAGGAGTATTTCTGAAAATTTTTAGTGTTTCAGCAGTAATGACTAAAATGCACACTTGGATTATGGCAGAAGACAAAAGTTCACAATATAAACACAATGTAATTTCTTTTACCAAGTAGGCATCCAAATAGAATTTTGCCACCCTAATTTTTGGATAGAACTTAAGAAAAAAATTTTTTTAATTTTTATTTTGAGAGCGAGACAGCAAGTGGGGGAGAGGCAGAAAGAGAGGGAGACAGAATCCCAAGCAGGCTCTGTGCTGTCAATGCAGACCCTGATGAGGGGTTTGAACTCACCAAGTATGAGATCATGACCTGAGCTGAAGTCAAGAGTTGGACACTTAACCAGCTGAGCCATCCAAGTGCCCTTTAATGTTACCTTCTAACTGCATTTGCAATTTCCTTCCAAGAAAAAAGATATTACCTTGTTGAAGAAAGAAGTTTTGAGACACTAACACTTAATACTATTCATAAGGACAACTTTTAATTAATGAGTAATGTAATGCAGTTATTTTCTGAACTTTTTTGTGGAAACAGGCTAGATAGGAATGACAATACTATTAACTGAAATCCAGATTCAATAAAGGCATAGAATGTCTAAGGAAATGATTGAAAACTGTATCTCTGCTTTTCCTTTCGCTGTTGTGAACTATGTAACTTATACCAGTAGAAGATTTTTTTAAATTCCCAAATGGGGTGAAGTACTTAGAAAGTTATTAATACTGTTAAGTGTTCTAATCTTATTAGAGTCTCAAGCAATACCATGTTTAAAAGAATAGCATAAAAATGAAGGACTCACTGAGAAATCATCTCCATTTCCTACTTTAATGATGGAGAGTAAAGTATTGCACTTTATTATTCAACACAAAATAATGTAGCCAACAGTAACATACAGGTACACAATTTAATATTTATTATATGCATTTTATATACATTATTTTTCAACAGCTGTACGTTTGCTATGTGGTACAATCTTAAAAATTTGCTGATTCATAGTTTGTAAAACAAAAACCTTACAAAACTCATCAAAACTCGCAAACTGATCAGAAAAGTTTTTGGAAGACTAGAAAAAATACTTTATTGTCTTAATCATGCATTACACAAACAAAATCTTTAGTTACACCATAAAATTAAGCACATCTGAAAAAATAAAATGGGATAACTAGTCCAAACACAGATTTCTGTAACCTGATTCAACTATTTTTGTATCCTATTTGTAATGCAAATACAATTTTACCCCAAATATTTTTAAACAAGATAGTTTTGTTTGGAATCATGGTAAACCAAGATATGCATCTGGGGGAAATCACCTTGGTTTGTAACTTAAACTATAAAATATTCCATTTTTAGTCTATTTTAGACTATTCAAAGAGTTCCAAAATAGATATACAGGTTCCTTTAGCACATTAATAAAAGGATATAAAGACCAACAAAAAGTGAAATAAATAATAGGCTATTAGCAAGATGGATAATCCTTGATAAATAAACTTGTAAATACAGTAAGATGTACAAAATATCACATAGTGATAGGATGCCAAGATTAGTTCATTTTTTTTTTAAAGAGTTCATCTGGAGTACTAAACCCCACTGTTTCATTTTTAATACACTTAATAGTCCTTGGTTTATATGAAGACAATTATGTGATGATGAAGGTGATTTAGCATCTTTATGGAAGGACTTAGCTGAGCTGTATTAGGCAAAAGAAGGAAAAAGTGTGGTTACACGGCAGCGGGTCAGTGAGATCTCTGTGTTTTAGGGTTGTATAATGCAGAAAAACTTCAATACAATCTTGAGCACTGTTGTGACAGGCTAAATATATAAAAAGACTTATAAAAACTAGAATTTTATCCAAACATTTTGTGCAACTAATGCTAAAATATTTTAAGTTAAATTTTCTTTTTTTTTTTTTAAAGCAAAATAAGTTTAAAAGGGAATCTGTGGCATTCAACTGATAAACAGAAAATCACTAAGAGATGAAAAAAAGCTACTCTTGGAGCTCACTTTCCCCCAACAAGAGCACCACATTCCTAACCCTAAGGCAGCACACAGAGTCCAAAATAAAAGTCTTTTTAAGATCAGACTCCACATTGGCTTAAAGATACCTAAAAAACAGACATACGCTCAGTTCATATCCAGTACAGGCCACAAATAATGGAGTCCTTTTTATTTGTCCCACGAAATACAGTAATTACAATTAAATTAATGAGCCTGACATTAAGATGTGATTTCCACCAATTTATGCCTGCCTTGAATAGCCTTCTCCAGGCAGATCACATGTAGTGTCATATCAGTAACCTTGTTGATGGCAGTGATGCAGACCCTCTTTCTGTCCAAGCAAATCTGTTGTTGACGATGTGATTTTTGCCGATTCACACAAATACTTTGGCAAGGGCATCAGCCCCTGCACTGGCAATATATGCTTTTGATGGATGGAAAGCAACATCATAAATTGATTCATCTAATTTCTTCCTATGTGCTGTTATTTCTTGTACACATGTCTTGCTGTCCAAATTCCATAATCTAATAGAACAGTCATGGCCTGTAATAAAAGAATAAATAAAGTATGTTACTAGGTAATGATTCTTTTATAAAGCTTGTGGCAGTATAGTAAGTTCAGACTTACTTCCAGACATCAAATAGATTCCATTAGGATCTACTGCTAGACTTGTAACAGCATCCAAATGAGCTACCATAGAATGGATCATTTTACCTAAATAAAACATAACACAGAAGATAAAGTTTTCACAAATAGTTACCAACTTGAGAGATCAGAAACCATAACACAGCATCAACATAAAATAGACAATCACTATAGCAATATATTTTTATTGTGGTAAAATACACATAACATAAAATTTACCATTTTAACCACTTGGGAAGGTACCATTCAGTGGCTTTTAGAGCATTCGCAATGATACGCAACCATCACCATTATCCAGTTCAGAACATTTTCATCACTGCAAAAGGAAACCCGTACCCATTAAGTAGTCACTCCCTATTTCTCCCCTTCCCCCAAGTCCCTGGTTACCACTAATCTACCTTTTCTATGATTTAGCCTATTCTCGATGCTTCATACAAATGAAATCATACACATAACATGTGGCTTTTTGTGTGTGCCTTCTGTCATTTAAAGGTTTTCAAGGTTCACCCAGTATACAGGCATATCTAGTTTTACTATGCTTCACAGATACTGCAGTGATTTTACAAAATGAAGATCTGTGGCAACCCTGTATTGAACAAATCTAATGGCGCCATTTTCAATAACATTGTTCACTTTGTGTCTCTGTGTCAGTTTGGGAATTCTTGCAATACTGCATGCAAACGTTTTCATTATTAATATATCTGTTACGGTCATCTATGATTGGTGCTTACAACCTAGTGAAAGCTCAGCAATGGTTAGCAATTTTTTTGCAATAAAGTTTTCTTTCATTAAGGCAGGTACATTGGTTTTTTAGATATAATACTATTGCACACTTAAGAGATAACAGTATGGTATAAACATGACTTTTATATGCACTGGGAAATGAAAAAAATTCATTTGACTCACTTTACTGCAAAATGGGCTTTAATGCAGTTGTGTGAACCCACAATATCTGTGAGGTATGCCTGTAATAATTTTTTGAAAGAATTTTAATTCCAAGGCAGAACTTTCCCGGTTACTCCTAAAAAAGGCATCTGTGTGACAATCTGACAGTATCTGGTAGACAGTGAAAAACATAATGACTGTATGGTTGCATCCAAGGTTTAAGATCATGTAAACTGGAATTAAACTAAAAATAGGAAGAATCTTTCTCATTAAGAAATGTAAAGAGTATTTCATCTATGGGGTTCCTGATAAATAAATCACTATGGGATATATTCCTAACTAAAGATTCTACTGTTATCAAATTCATTTATCCTTTGAAATATTAATCATTTTGTACATTAGAAACAAGAAAGGGGAGAGAGGTGGGAGTATATCAGAGAAATTATTCTGGATTTCCCCAGACAGTAACAAAAACACTGTTCTGGAAAACGGGATTTAATGAGTATTTTCAATGAAGATTTGGAAGAAAATGGGATTCAATGGCAAGTTAAAATTAAAAAAAAAAAAGTTACGGGTACAAAGTTGTGTTGCATAAATACTTTGGGGGCAGGGGAATTAGCCTCCGCACTGGCAGTATATGCTTTTGGATAGACAGAAAGCAACATCATAAATTCATTTATCCAAGAAGAGAATAAAATAGCAAATACAGATACTTAAAAAAATTTCCTCCCCTTTCACTCAGCAATGAGTCTTTACTATTCAAATGCTTGAGCTGCTCCTAATGAGAGGCCTTCTCCAGAATTCTAGTTACAATCATTTGCCATGTTTCTGGTCCTCTGATGACATTCCACACTGGAATATGAAATATATCTACTTTTGTTATTTGCTACAGCTACTGGCCTGAATATAAAACCACAACATAATCAAACGTGCAAAAAGTTACTTTGAAAAACATAAAAAGTCCTATCACTTTCTGGCAATACTAAGCATGTCATCAGTTAAGTACAAAATTAAGTCTCTCATCATTTCAAATGACATCTGTTGGTTTTTCACTAATACTAACAGAATAATTTTAGGGATTCTTCTCTACTACAGAAAAATCATTCAACATACTATCTTTAATTGCTTAGTCCAACACAATTCATCTATCAGTTCTAGAATCCATTCCTCACAATATGCCTATAAAAAAACCAAGTATGAAATTGTTGGCTTCCAGGACAATACTTTCAAATAATTAGGGGTTAAGCAAGATTAGCTTCTCTGAAAAAGTCAAATCTATGATGGTCACTCTTAACTCACAGATCTAGTGCTAACTTCTTTCCTGAGAATGATCCTGTATCTCCTAAATTTAACATGTCTTAAATACAAAGAATTCTTTCATCCAAACAGCAGAAATGCCCATTTCTTTAAGGGTACTATAATCTTCCCAGTTTATCTCCTGTGCACTAAATTAACCCTCACTATGAAAACCTGAGTCAGTTTAGAGTCAACCCTTCCTCTCCCCAAATACGTGGAATGCAAAACCAATGTGAATGCTGGGCTTCCACTGGTAAACACAGAAGTCACAAAACTTCTGACACTTCCCAAGAATTAGGATTCCTCCTTTCTCAACATATACTTAAAGCTTCTCACATTTAACCAATTTTACTTTTGCCTCATGCCTCTGCTACTACCTCTCTTTGCTGACCAAAATTAATTCTTTCCTTCTGTAACAGAGGCAAATAGAAGATACATGCAGTCACCTGTTCTCCCCTCCCTGGCACCTTAAGCCCTTGGACTTGGACAATCAATATCATGGGCCGCTAAGAAATGGGGACAAAAATAGGTATTAAAAAAACGTGGATTGCGGAAGCAAACTGAAGGAGTGTGAATCCCAACCCTTTAATTTCTCTCTGCTGTGTAACAATGAACTAATTATATAACTTCTTTTAAGACTTTTATTTCAAACCTAAAATGGAGACAATAATAATATATCTACTTTACAGTTAGTTATAAGAGGAACAAACATGTTAATATATGTAAATCTAATAGAACAATGTCTCACTTGCAGTAAGCAATATAACACTAGGGTATAAATTCTAAGAGGACCAGACATTTTGTTTTGTTCACCAAGCAATGAAAACTATGCCAAGGATATGGCAGACACTCAATAAATTGTGAATGAATGAGTCCACAACAAATTCAGTATCTTCTGTTTCCAACTTCTCCATATTACTCACTTATACACCTTCTCCTAGACTATCACTAACTAAATCTCTCAGGAACAGTATATGCAACACAAATTTATATCTCTACCAAATTTTAAAAATCACGAGCCCTTAATATTTCTCTAGAATAGTAGAAACTGAAATTATTTAAAGTCAAAGATCTACCAGATAATGCAATTTAAATAATCTTTCTAAACCAATTTTATAAACCCCTACTCAAATATTTTAAGTGGTTTTCAGTGTATAGTATAAACAAAAATCCATCATTCTTAGCCTGGCTCTGAAAAGTTCTCCTCCATTGATTGGGTTTCTCTTCTCCAAACTTACCTTTTTGGCGTTACCTATAAGAAACTTCTGTTCTAGCCCAAGTTTCTACCACCATGCTGACTCTGCTCAAAATATGCCCTTATCTGGAATTTCTTACTACCTTCTTTCCTTAAAACAACAACAAAAAAACCTTACCATTTCTTTAAGGCAAAGACCAAACCCTTACTACGAAAACTCCTTTATCTAGCATGGCTCATTTTACTGCATGTACGAGTGCACACGTGCACGTGCATGTGTGCAAGCACACACATACATCCTATTTCCCCAAACAATGATAAGCTCCCAGAGAGCAGAAACCACACCTTACACAACATATAGCTAGTGTGCGTGGAATACAAAATGCTAAATATATTTTTGCTGTTAAAATCTAAGCACTTATTGAATCCATTCATAGTATCAATTTCTATAATGTTTGAGATTAAAAAATCAATTAAATATATTAGTCATTTGCCAGAATATTCTATTAGAAACTTAACTAACTGGCAACATCAGACCAGTTATGGAAATATTCTAGTTTGTCACATTTACTTTTTTTTATTTTTTTAATGTTTTTATTTATTTTTAAGACAGAGAGAGAGCATGAGCAGGGGAGGGGCAGAGACCGAGGGGGAGACAGAATCCGAAGCAGGGTCCAGGCTCTGAGCTGTCAGCACAGAGCCCGACGTGGGGCTCAAACTCACAGACTGTGAGATCATGACCTGAGCTGAAGTTGGACGCTTAACTGACTGAGCCACTCAGGCGCCCCACATTTATTTTTTATAAAGTTTTTTTAATGTTTTATTTATTTTTGAGAGACAGAGAGCATAAACAGGGAAGGGGAAGAGAGAGAAGAGAACAGAGGATCTGAAGCAGGCTCCATGCTGACAGCAGAGAGCCCAATGTGGGGCTTGAAGCCACAAACCGCAAGATCATGACCTGAGCTGAAGTCAGATGCTTAATCGACTGAACCACCCAGGTGCCCTTAGTTTGTCACATTTAAATGAATTAACATTTTTCAGGGAAAAGTTTCTTTGGAAACAGTATATCTGAACACAATTTAGTTTAACTCAATGTTGTTATGTATAGTGTTTACCTGTGTGTGAAGTGAGACAGGATTTAAAATTTTTTTTCACATTTATTTTTGAGAGAGAGCAAGACAGAGTGTGAATGGGGGAGGGGCAGAGAGAGGGGGCATGGCTGGGGGCACAGAATCTGAAGCAGGCTCCAGGCTCTGAGCTGTCAGCACGGAGCCCGACACAGGGCTGGAACCCATGGACCATGAGATCATGACATGAGCTGAAAGTCGGACGCTTAACCGACTGAGCCACCCAGGTGTCCCTAAGTGAGACAGGATTTAAAAATAATTTTTTCATTGTTTAGAGCCTATCGCTTTGTCTTTACATTACAGATAAGGTAACCAGACTAGTTAACAGAAAGAATAAATTGGTAGAATTTGTAAATGATCTGAAAAACTATAGGCTCCTCGTTATTAAATAAAATTTTATTACTACGTTCTTGATTTCTGCCAATAAAATAGCTCTAGAGAATCACATTTTGCTGTTAATACACTACTAAAATTCCTGAACCTCCCCTTACAAATATAAATCCTCAATAGGTAATTAAAAAAAAAAAATCTCTTTATAGGAGCACCTGGGTGGCTCAGTCTGTTAGGTGACTGACTTCGGCTCAGGTCATAATCTCACAGTTTGTGGGACTGAGCCCCATGTCTGGCTCTGTGCTGATAGCTCAGAGCCTGGAGCCTGCTTCAAATCCTGTGTATCTCTCTCTCTCTGCCCCTCCTCTACTCATGTTCTGTCTCCCTTTCTCAAAAATAAACATTAAAAAAATTTTTTTAATCTTCTTATAAATACAGTAAAGGAAATTATCTCTGTGCTTGCAGCAGAGGTAGATCTTGAGGCTTCATAAAAATGTTCAAAGAAATGATTTGAGAAGGTGTTAAACTGAGAACTTCCATATGAATATGAATCTTCTTTCCTGTGCAATATAGATTGTGAATATCCATTCTCTTCTCAACTTGTTCCACTGAGTTAAAAGGAACCTGTCCATTAGAGTGTTATTTTAACACAGGGATTTGTTGTTAGACTCTAAAGATTAATAATTATAACTATGTTCTCTATAAACTTCAAAGAGAATGTCTAGTTCTGATTTGCTGTCTTGCTTAATCTATTGCCCTGCAGTAGGGCTGCAATTAACATTTAAGTTTTTTTACTTGGAAATCCTTCAATACCCATTTTAACTTCTCAAAGAAGCTTCTCTAGCTGAGCACAAACAGTAACTTATGTGGTATTCTAATGACAGATGAAACAGGTCTATGGCCAAATTAAAATTTATTTTGACTTCTATATAATTGGTAAGTTTCCTTACAAGAAATGGAGGGAAAATGGCAATAAACCATTTCCACTATTTTATCATTTCAGCTGAGAAATAATTCTAATAGCATATTTGAAATGTCCAACACCAGAAAGAGACCTCTTCTGCTATACTAATGCCCAACAGAATATGAAGAAAAAAATTCAAATGGATGAGTTTATATTTAACATGACATGAAAAAATCGTTAATAGATAGGCAAGGTATTATATATGCTTAAGAACAGAACTTGACATGTAAGTAAAACAAAAATCTTAGTTAAAATGGTTTAACTTAGCAATCTTGAAGGCAAAAAGTCCATATGTCTTACATAAAAGAACAGCCTTTAAAAAAAAAACAACAAAAACAAAAAAACAAAAAAAAAAAAACACTAGCTTTTGTGCTCAGTGCAGAGCCCAATGTGGGGCTTGATCTCACCACTCTGAGATCAAGACCTGAGCTGAGATCAAGAATCAGACACTTGATGGACTGAGCCACCCAGGCACCCCCACCAAAATAGCATTTTTGATCATGTCAAATTTACAGTATTATTAATAAGACTAAAAAGAAAAAAAGAGAATCTACTTACCCGTTTTATTATCAAAAAATTTGATGTGTCTATCTTCATGAGCAGTTATTGTAACAGGAAGTGTGGGATGACTTACTACTCTGTTAATGTGATTATTGGATTGTAAACCTGAAAAATAAAGGAAGATAATGCAGTAAAATTCAAACCTTTAATTAAAAACTGGATGATGGTTTTTTTATTCTTACCAAAAAATAAGAATCATTTAGAAATTAAAGCATTTGTATAAAATAAAAATCTGAGAAAACCAGAGCCATAGAGAGATAAAGTTTCTTTAAAAATACATGTTTAAGCTATCATGTCCTATAATATGGATAGTACTAACTCTGAGTTTAGGAAAAGTTAGAAGTACTTTAATGCAGATTGTCAGTACAGATGATTTAGAATCTTTTATTTGTTTGAAAGAGAGAGAGCAAGTGGGGGACAAACACAGGAAATCCCAAGCAAGCACCACGCTGTCAGCAGGGAGCCTGATGCAGGGCTTGATCCCATGAACCATGAGATCATGACCTGAGCTGAAATCAAGAGTTGGATGCTCAACCGACAGAGCTACTCAAGCACCCCTAAATGATTTAGAATCTTAAAAGACTCACAGTAATTATTACTTTAAATAAACAGCCCATAAATGAATTATAAACATTTAATGAAAAAATGTGTAAGTAATAATTAGATGTTTGCAAGGAACAACGCCCATCCTACCCACATTCACCAAAAACAAAAAAACAAAACAAAACAAAAAACAAAAAACATCACAAGAACAGGAATCAATGTTCTTAGGGATACCTTTCTTTGTAACCAAACTCTTAAAGTTTTTACTAAATTAGACAGAGAAGGATCAAAATTCAGAGGGGCGTGTGGGTGGTTCAGTTAGGTTAAACATTGGACTTGTGATTTTGACTCAGGTCATGATCTTATGGTTTGTGAGATCAAGCCCCATGTTGAGCTCTGTGCTGACAGCATGGAGCCTACTTGGGATTCTCTCTCATAATAAGTAAATGTTAAAATAAAAACTAATGGGAAAATATCAACATTATTAGATTTAAACTAAATCAGTCATTCCACATATATATAAGCACTCTTAACTGAACTTAAGATACATTACCTAAGAGGGAGAAAGGGAATAGAGATGAAAAGACTTCTCTGAGCATAATGTGGAGATTTGACCATGAAACCATTTAAATGGTTTAAATAATAAAGTGATTATTTTTTAAAGCACTCACTAAAAACACAAGTTAACTTAAAAGAATGTAACTGTAGGGGCACCTGGGTGGCTCAGTCAGTTAAGTGTCCAACTTTGGCTTAGATCATGATCTCACGGTTCGTGGGTTCAAGCCCTGTATTGGGCTCTGTGCTGACAGCTTGGAGCCTGGAGCCTGCTTCAGATTCTGTACCTCCCTCTCTTTCCCCCTCCCCTGCTCACACTCTCTCTCTCCCTCATAAATAAATAAACATTTAAAAAATTAAAAAAAAAAAAAAAGAATGTAACTGTATATCCAATTGGGGTATGAACACACAAAAAAAGAACCATTTCAAGTAACTTTAAAGCACAGTAATTAGCCTGTCTGTCCCTAGTGGAATATACCATGAATACAAAACTACTATTGGTGGTAGTACTGGTTTTATTATTCTGAGATGACTGTATTTGTACTGTGGAATAAATCAAACAAGAGATTACAATGATTTTGCTGAGAACCAAGAGTTTAGCATGAATAAAATGAGGTAAGGGGCACCTGGGTGGCTTAGTTGGTTAGGTGTCCAAGTCTTGATTTCAGCTCAGATCATGATGTCATGGTTCATGAGACTGAGAGCAGCGTTGGGCTCTGTGCTATTAGTGCTTGGGATTCTCTCCCTCCCTCTCCCTCTGCCCCTCTCTCACTTGTATTCTCTCTCAAAACAAACTTTAAAAATAAATAAATAAGTAAATAAATAAATAAAATGAGGTAAAAAGCAATGACATAAATCTAATAATCTTTTTTTTAATGAAATATTAATTCATTTTTAAGAGTGTGTGTGAGTGGGGTAGGGGCAGAGAGAGGGGGACAGAGGATCTGAAGTGGGCTCTGGGCTGACAGTAGGGAGCCTGAAGTGGGGCTCGAACTCAGGAACTCTGAGATCATGACCTGAGCCGAAGTCGGCTGCTCAACCAACTGAGCCACCCAGATGCCCCACAATGAGATAAATCTAAATTTGAACAGGAAGTATTTGAATAGGAAGCATCAGTATGAAGTTTATCAGTGTTTTTCTTTATTAAAAGTGCATTTGTAGCTCTGTTCACTGAAAAAGCCTAAAACAATGAGCAACTCAAGAGCTACAAAAGCCATGAGAACCAATCCAATAGCCTTGCACCTATATTGTGGTCTCTAAATGCCATTTTCCAATAAAAGAAACTATGACTCCTTAGAGAAATGGGTAATTTCAGTCTGAGGCACAAAATGAACAAGATGGACCTAAACATCTTGCTACATGAGAAAGCTATCAATGACTAGCAGAGTCAGGTCAAAATGACTCAAGAGCCAAAGTGAATAAGCTCCCACTGGCCAAAGATGAAATAATCTGAGGAGTGATAAAGATAACTTGCAGTAGATTAAAACACATCAGATAATTTATATCTGAGATCAGAGATTACGATGGTAATAAAAACAAACACCACCCCAAGAGATTCAATGGACACCTTTTTTTTTTTTAAAGTTTATTTATTTTGAGGGAGAGAGAGAGCACAAGCAGAGGAGAGGCAGAGAGAATCCCAAGCAGATTCTGCACTGTCAGCACAGAGCCATATGTGGGCTCGAATTTACGAACCACAAGATCATGACCTGGACCGAAATCAAGAGTTGGATGCTAAACCAACTGAGCCACCCAGGCACCCCTCAATGGTCACCTTTAGGTGATGCTAGGAAACCACTTCATTATTCTGAAAACTGATAAAGGTGGGGGGATCAACAACTGACCTTCCCCTTCACTTATAATCACTAACTCCAGGGTAACCAAATTACTGATAAGGGGTGTTCCCTTTTATAGACAGATTCTAGCTAATAAGTGGAAAAGAAATGAAAGTATTAGAAAATCATTTTTCAAGAGAATTATGGATCTATGCAATAATCAAGATTGAAAACGTAAGAAAAATATAAACAACCAGACAATATTTACTTCCAATAAAAGTTCACAAATTACTATGAAACAGTCTTGCCAAGAACCTTTAAAAACTTTAAAATGAAGACAAATAAAAACATTAAACCTGAGTTTGAATAAGCTTCTAGATCTATAAACTATTTACAGAAATGAAATGAAAAGAGAAAGCACCTTAAATGATACCACAAGGATGCAAA